GACAACTCAGAAACGTTCTGAGTTTGGTAGAAGAGAGTTAAAGTGGAACCAGTTTGTTGGTTTGATCAGAATCTGTTCTGGTCGCAGCACAACGAGTCGAAGCCAACATAAAATAAATCTGCTTCAGTCGGAGCTCAGTCAGCCGACAAACACTGAACATGAACAACGAGGACAGTCAGGTGGTGTTGAACCGGATTAAACCAGAAATACAGAACATGGAAGGAAGTTCTAGAAACCAAACTCATATAGAAACTGTCAGAAAACGTATTAAAGGACTGCACAGGACTGTGACAGCAAACATCTGGAAAATAATGAGAGTTTTAGTGACTTTAAAAACAGAAAAATGTATTTTACAGTCGGAGATTGTGAAAAAAAACAATTAGTGTTTGTTAAAATACTGATTTTTACTGTCAACATGTTCATTAAGACTGTTATCTGTGATTTTACTGATTTTTCACATTGATTTGATGTTTTTTTTTGTGTTTTTTTTTTTTTTACAGTTTACATGAAAATGTATCTTTTATTCCCTGTTATTTGCTAAATATGATGTAATTTGACCAGAAAAAAAAGGAAAATGTTTCTTCAATTTATTCTTCAGTCCTTAATTTAACACACACATTTTGTTTTAACTTAGCAGAAAATATCTGTGAAATAACTGATTTAAATGCAGTAAAATCATCGAGTTTACGTCAAAGTTTGTAAAAGAAAAACATTGTTTGTAAAAATACAGATTTTAGATGTGAACATTATTTAAAGTTTCTTTATTTTATTTTTAAAGTTTTTTTTAATCATTATTTTTGCCATCAACATGTAAATTAAAATGTTTTCCTGTGATTTTACAGTTTTGGCTGGTTTTGTTTGTTTGTTTGTTTGTTTTTACAGTTCACATAAAAATATTTTTTTTTCCCCTGCAATTTACTGAATATGATGGAAATGTAAACAATTATGTAAATATGATAATGAAAATAAAGCAAAAGCTCTAAAATTACAATTTCAATACTTTCAATACTTTTTAATTCAAATAACAGAAAATATTTGTAAAATATGTCAAATGATTTAAATGCAGTAAAATCATCTCATTTACGTCAAACTCTGAAAAAGAAAAACCCTGTTTGTAAAAATACTGATTTTTGATTCAGACTGTTTTTCTGTAATTTATTGGATATTATTTATAATTTAACAAAACAGAAAATAAACATTTAAAAATGATTTCGTATTTTAGATCCTTAAAGTAAAACAGCTGTTGATTTTAAATCATTTAAAAATATTTTTAAAAATCTGCAAAATAAATGATTTTTAGCTGATTTAAATACAGTCATGTTTGTGTCGTTTTCTGTAATTTTTCTAAAACAACAAGCGAGTTTTTCTAAAAACAGAATTTTCACGTCGATATTCATTATATTATATTGTTATTATATTATTCATATATTATATTATTTATATTGTTATTATATTATATTATTATTTATTATTATATTATTCATCCTCTCATTATTATTAAAATGCAGATTCTGTGTTTTTACTGGATTTTGTCTGTAATTTAACAAAAAATGTGAAAATCTGTAAATAACCAGTAAATTATTTAAAAACCTATTTGTTTGTTTGTTTGTTTGTTTACATGTAGATTCATTCTAATATATCAGAGTTTAAAGGTCCAGGACGGGTTCTGGTGTTTAACGATATTTCTCTGTTGTTGGTTTTGTGACTTTCTGACTGGTTCTGTTGGTTCTGGCCCATTCTGTTGATTCTGACCGGCTCTGTTGGTTCTGACCGCTTGTGTTGGTTCTGACCCATTGTGTTGGTTCTGACCGCTTGTATTAGTTCTGACCCATTGTGTTGGTTCTGACTGGTTGTGTTGGTTCTGACCCATTGTGTTGGTTCTGACCGGCTCTGTCGGTTCTAACTCATTGTGTTGGTTCTGACCTGTTGTGTTGGTTATGACCGGCTCTGTTGGTTCTGATCCGTTGTGTTGGTTCTGACCCGTTGTGTTGTTTCTAACCCGTTGTGCTGGTTCTGACCGGCTCTGTTGGTTCTAACGCTTTCTGTTGGTTCTGACCTGTTCTGTTGGTTCTGACTGGTTCTGTTGTTTCTGACCCATTATGTTGTTTCTAACCCGTTGTGTTGGTTCTGGCCTATTGTGTTGGTTCTATCCCGTTCTGTTGGTTCTGACTAGTTGCATTGGTTCTGACCGGTTCTGTTGGTTGTATCCCGTTCTGTTGATTCTGACCGGTTCTGTTAGTTCTGACCGGTGTCTTCGGGCCTCTAACGGTTTAACGTCTCTGATCGATCGTTTGGGCCGCCCGGCGCTGATTGGACCCGTTTACCAGCACGTCCTTCTTCCCGCTCTGATCTCTGCTGGACTCTGGTTGGCTGCCGGTTCGGAGCTTTGATTTCTGATCCTCGTCCCTCCTGGGACCCGGTCAGCGCCGAGCGGCTGCTAATTAACTCAGCGATCAATGGGCCGGGTGCAGCGGCGCTGCCCGTCCATCGATCTGCTCCACGCTTCGTCCCGGTTTGGAGGCTCCGAGCCGGCGTTGGCTGGAAATAGCTCCCGCTCGGTTCGGCTTTGTTAGCGGCGCTTTGTTCTGATCCGTCGGTGGCGTGCGGCTCCGCTCCCACGGCAACATGGCGGCCGCTCGCTGCGCGCTGATTGGCTGTAATTAGGGTGATTGGAGTGATTACAGCCACGTGCAGCAGGTCAGCATAAACGGGTCCAGTGTTGGTCCTGGAGACAAGAGCAGCTCCTGGTCCGTCAAGTCCAGACTCCAGAGCATCAGAACTCGTTAACGGACCTCCTGGTTCTGCTGGAAGCAGCAACGTGACGCTTTAGAGCCGTAAAAAGTCACAACTCTGCTTTTTAAAGCCAGAATCTGCTCGTCAGGGAGAAAGTTTCACCTTTAAAGCCCTGAACAGCAAAAATCTGCTGATTGGTTGATTTCATGTGTTGACAAGCAGCAAAGTGTCGGTTCTGAAAACCTTAAAAAAAAAAAAAAAAAACTCTGTTTTTAAAAACCAGAATGTGCTTTTCAGAGGCCAGAGTTTGTGTTTCAGAGCTAAAACCTGCAGTAAAAAGGCAACGTTTAGCTTTTTAAAGCCAGAATCTGCTCAAAATGAGCCAGACGGAACTTTTAAAGGCCTTAATTTGTATTGTTTTGTTTTTAAAGCTAAAATCTGCTCGTAAACATTTTAAAGTCTTAAAGAGCAAAATTCTGCAGGTTTGCCTTTCTGTCATTTCCTGTACATATCATTAAAAAAAAACAGTGAACAGAGAGACTGACGATCATTTAACAATAAATCAGGTGGAACCGGAGATCAGTGCTGTAGAAAACAAAGAGACGATACATCCCATAATACTGACGCTAGCAGCTGGTTAAATGAGCAGAACCAGGTCTAGGGTTCAGACTGAGGCTCTTGGATGGACGTAGAACTGATAGATGAAGCTATACAGACTCAGAACTGAACCAGAGCTGAACTCAAACATTGACCATAAGGACTCAACGACCGTCTGAAGTTACTCAGAAATAATCAAAATGACAAAAAGATGACGTTGAAATGACAAAACGTTGGTTCATAAACGTCTGAGGTGAAAAACAACAATCCACAAACTACTGAAAATGTGTCTGGATTTACTAATTATGTCCAGAAGGATTAAAAAATAACAAAAAAACGTCTAAAGCGACCTAAAATGATTTAAATTAAAAAAAAAAAAAGTTTACTGAAAATGACAAACCAAACCGTGTGAATGCCTCCACTGACATGATTCATTCTTTAACAACATCTGACTGTAAATTCAACTCATTGAGCTGTTTTTAGATCAAAAATATGATTTTCTTCATTAATTTCTTAAACACTATAGTTTTCTATTATTGTTATTATTAATTAATTACTACTAATTTATTCTTTCACAACATTTGACAGTAAAGTGATCATTTTTATTGAATTCTGTTATTATATTTGCTGTTATTTAAAAAATCTCAAAGACGTCCTGTTTTGGTGATTTACTGATAAAACCAAATAAAATCTCAATAAAACGTTTAAATTCAAACATTTGCTGTAAAACTAAGAGAATGAAAAACTGTGAACGTGTCCAGATGAAACATCAAACAACAAATATGAATTTATTCTTTTACAAAAGTGTAAAATCACAGCTTTTTACTGTAAATAAACCTGTTTTGTATTTTTGAAAATTCTGTATTTTAGAGATATTTGCTGTTATTTTCTAGGTTTTTACAGGTTTTGAATATTACATATTTTAACATTTTTGACAGTTTTTAGAAAAAAAATTCAGAAAAAATTGCAGTTTTCTTTATTACAGACTTCATTTTAATTAAATTTTTACAGTGTATTTATTTTTTTAAACATCTTTTTAAACTATGTTACGCTCTCAATGTTGAGTTCTGTTTTTTTTTATTTAAATTTTTATTATTGTTATTGTTGTTGTTGTTATTGTTGTTGTTTTCCAGAGAAACCAGCCGATCAGTTAACAGACAGAAGCACATCAGTGATCATTAAAACAACAAAAACAATAAAACTGTAATGATTAATCGCCTGGTTATTGTTTTTTTGGTGATAACATCTCAGTGATCAGTTCTATAAACATAAAAATGGAACAAATCTGCCTGAAATAAAAACTGAAATCATGTTTTCTTCTGTTTTATTGCCACTAAAACTGTAAATATGACCTTCATTACAGTGTCTGATCAGTGATTTCACACATCTGCAGCATTTCTGGCTCCGCTTTAATCTCTAAACTGATTTTATTTCATTTTATTTTTCTTTTCTCGGCGCATCTCTGTGTGGAGGAGCAGCTCGCGCATGCGCGCTGGCTCTCCGGGCAGCAGCGGGAAGCAGCGCTGCGCGCGGCTCAGTGCGCCCCGAGCCTCCAGAGCGCCCGGTTACCATGATCCTCTCCACCGGTCCGAGCACCGACAGCAGCACCGAGCTCCGCGCCGCACGCACCCCGCCGCCCACCGCCGCTCCGGCCTGCCGCCCGCAGCAGGATGCCCGGGGGAAAGAGAGGGCTGGTGGCGCCGCAGAACACTTTCCTGGAGAACATCGTCCGCCGTTCCAGTGGTGAGTCCGGCTCCGGCTCCGGGTTCTGGGTTCTGGCTCCGGGTCCGGGTGTGGGTCTGGGGTTTCCTGAGCGCCGGTTCGGAGGATAAAAGCCGCAGAAAGTCACTTTGGTTCTGGACTTTGTGGACATTTCTGCAGCTTCAGAACACGTTTGGTTTATTTGTATTATTCTGACTGACGCGCGTCGCAGTAAGTAACGTTAAAGTGACGCTAAACAAACGTTCAGGGAACCGTCGCTGCTGCTGCTGCCGCTGCTGCTGCTGCTGAGCGTGGTTCTGATCCAGTTTCTGCTGGAAATTCTGACAAATTCCTGTAAAAAATACTTTAAAAAAAGGAAATAACTGGAGTTGAAAAGTTGATTTTGTTCATCAGTGAGACGCTTTTAGGGCATCTGGAGGTGATTTACTGCATTATTATTATTGTTATTATTATTATTATTATTATTATTATTATTATTGTTATTATTATTGTTATTCTTCTTCTTCTTCTTATTATTATTATTATTGTTGTTGTTGTTGTTGTCCTTGTCAGTGCAGCAGCTCAGAGGTGTGACTGGTCTGGGTCAGTGAGCAGATGAACCATAAACAGCTGCTCAGGTGTTTTATCAGGTTATTTGTTTGTTTATTTGTTTGTTTACTTGTTGTTCTGGTCAGTGTTGGTTCGGTTCTGTCGCTGAAGGTCCGGTTCAGGTGTCGCTGGTTCAGCTGCAGAGCAACACTGTAAAAACTGGTCGTTTCTTCATCGTGTTTTTTGAGCAGTTTACTGATAATATTCAGTAAAACCACTGAAAAAAAAAAAATCATGATTTACGTGTAAATTCTTTAAAAAAAGGCAAAAACTGTCAATAGCATAAAACATGTTTTTATTCATATTAATTTGTTCTTTTACGATGTTTAACTACAACATGTTTAAAGTTGTTGCTGTATTTAAATCAGAGAAAATCGTATTTTGCAGATATTTGATTTTTTTTTTGTCATTTTACAGATTTGTCCTTTTTTGTTAAATTACAGATAATATTTAGTAAAATCACAGAAAAAGTATTGATTCACACATTCACTGTAAAAAACTGAACAAACTGGTCATTTCTTCTTTTACATTTGAATATAAAACATTTTTCTTTGTTTACTTTAAAAAAAAAAACAAAAAAACAGCAAAAATATAATTTTACAGATTAAAAAAAAAAATGTACTTCTGTGATTGTTCTTATTTTGTATAAATATATTTATATTAGTATAAAACATTGAGTGTAAATCACAGATAAAAACGTGTTAATTTACACGTTCACTTTAAAAAAACAAAACAAGATGGGCAAAACTGTAAATACTGACCTCATAAAAAATCAGTATTTTCAGAAATCGTAATTCATTATTTTATATTTTAGTATCAAATTATTTTTCTTGGTTTGCTTTTTAAAAATAATTTACAACAGAAAAAAATAGAATTTTAATTTATTTAATTTATTTTTAAAAATCTATTATTACTGTAATTTTAGGATTTTTCCTACTTTGTATTTATATTAGTAGAAAAATGTTTTTTTTAAATTGCAGATAAAAAATGCGTGACTTAGTCGGCCCGTTTTTCCTCACTGTGGCTCATTTTTCTGGATTGTACTCATGTTTTTCTCATGGGGTCTAATTTTTTTCCAACAATTTAGGCAACAAAACCCCAAAAAACAACAACAACACTGTATACTATTTTCATTTCCGTGACGTTCTAGCACCTCTGGTGGTCCTCCAGATGTTCTGATGTGAACCAGCAGCTCACTGAACCTGCAGGACCTTCTGCTTTCTCCACATTTTTTCTTTGTGCTGTAAATTTACGTGGATGAATTCTGAGACTCGGCCCAGAGCGCTAACAGAACAGTCTGAGCTCAGAACCATTGACAGCGACGCCAGAACAGATCCGAGCAGGTCCAGAAGGTTCTTCTGTGGTTCTTGTGTTCAGTCCCAGACGGCAGCAGGAGGCTTCAGACAGAACCGGGATGGATTCAGGAGCTAGAGCTCAGTTTAGTGCTGAACAGCTCTGAGGTTCTGGTTCCTCTGAGGACACATGGAGCTGCTGCTGGATGTTCTGACTGCAGGTGGTGACCTCTGACCTTCTACCCACGATGCACTGCAGCTCTGGGCTCCAGTCCCAGCCGAACATGAGTCGAGTCCACAGCAGCATGAAAACACAGAAACCAGTCCCAGCCGAACATGAGTCGA